CTCCTGCGATTATTTGACCATTAATGCCAGAGTTAAAAACATTCAGAGATTGTTTAAAACCAATTTACAGAAGCCCCGGTGACAAGTAATTACAAACCTTTTGTGCAATATTATTTCTTTGAATTAAACATTGCTGTATTATTTTTAGTGGAGAACGCTATTATTAATTCAGAATGAACAAAAAGTGGAAGTTAAGTATTAAGCTTCGTAAACTGCTGGATTTTGACCTAATTTATTTTTACAAGTATTTCAACATCTGTACTTTTTAGGTGGAATCAAAACCCTCATCAATTTCGTTTCATTTTCTTACGCCTAAAGCAATGCCTACTTCAATCATACGTTTTGATTTTATGTATCGACTCGGGTGTGAGACAGATATAATTTGCAAAACAGTGTGGTGATGCAGTGTCCTTACTGCTGAGCGTCAACCGGCACCCATTAATTTCAATTCTTCTACTTCGATTTTTAAAAACTTGGATTCAACCGGTTTAACCGCATGGATTAAACATTTTCCGAATATTATTTTCACACAACTAATAAAAATGGACGGAGACCTCGGAAAAATGTTTTAATTTGCAATTAGTCTGTGACGGGCATCTGTTGAGAATACTGATTGTATTAAATCAGTATTTTGCCATTTGTTTTAAAGACTTTTAAATAAATACATTTAGGTGGACAGATTTTCCGTGCAAGACACCAAAGGGAAGGTTTTGAAAGTTAGCTCAGTTCCACTGTCACGCTGTATTTTGCGCCACTGTGTTTAATTATTCTTATAGATTTACTTGCATTTGTTTAATTTACAGATTACTTCTTCTGGGTGCAGTAACTAGTAACAATTTGTGCTCTTTCTCATAATTGATTAATCCAGTTTGGTTAATCATTTATTGTTGTTTGGAAGTTTTGCACTACAACTGGTTAGGATAAACAATATCTGAATGTGAAATGTCAAGCACCAAGATCGGCTAGGATCAATTTTTATTTTGGTCGCATTGACCAATGTTTGCCAGTTTTCAGATTTCTTATTTTGTAGTAGCCGTCGAATGCTATCAAATACGAAGATTTGTTAGTTGGGAAAATATCCGCATATGAAACGTGTTACAAATTACAACACAGAGCGTAATCCAGTTCCGTGTAAAATTATACGTCCAGGGATTCATTCTGAAATGGCATACTCAAAAATAGCGATAACAATCTATTTCTAGATGTAAGGTTTATAGATTGAAGCAATAAAAAGGTCTTATACATTTCCACGATTTTTAATATTCACATTCGAGCTCTGCGAATCTATTTCGAAAATATTTATTAATTTAAATCTGCACAATTTAATTAACTTACGGAATAATCATTTGATGCAACGAAATTACGCTCGATATATTTGATTATAACTTTCGGCCGATCGTAATGTTTAAAGAAAACTTATAATAGGCAATTGGAATGTTACAGCCGTGAATAGTTGATTGCTTTATAATAACTTCGAACATCAAAAAATGCTGACTAATTTGAGGCGCGCTAATTTAAACGGGATGTTATCTATTATTTTAAATCCGAATTTATTTCCAAAATGGTAATTTAAAGAAGAGGCCTACTTTTATGTAATTTTATTTTATTTGGCGAATTTGTGAAAAGCACACATTCCTTCAAGTTTACCTGAAAATCTCGGGATCGTTCCTCACTCTGCACAGTTTTCCAAGCTTCTATCGGTGAACCCTCCAAACAAATGTTAAGACTTTGTTTGACCTAAAATATTATTTTACATGTCACTGGCCAGGTTATAGTTGCTAATTGATGATTATCTTATATTTTGTTTATATTGCTACCGTGTAAAACGAGCGAAATAGCTCTTGCAATTGTAAACTGAATCCCTTTAAAGCGAGGATAATTTAGCAGGGTCAATTCACCTAATTGCTAGCTGGAGTACTCACTAACTCTACTTGCGACATCACCGACATACATCCGCCGTTTACTGGGTACGACGCAGAAATTTTGTACAAGCTCATCGATGCTGCGTTAGCATATATGCAAATCAAAGGGGGACTTTTAATTTGTGGGATCAAAGGAATGCACATACAGAAAATATGACTCCAACAATTTTGGAAGTTACAAGATTCAGGTATGTTTTAAATGTAAAGATTGCCGAGGAGTGATATACAGTTTTGTCACTTCGGATTTCAGCACGTGTTTCGGTGCTTATTCTGATCACCGCTGAGTACTTGATAGGTGTGTGCTGTGGCATTCGCACTGAGTAACCATAAATGCTATGTTCGGAGCAACGCTGAGCAAGTTGCTCATTTTCGTCAGTCTAGGCGTAACTTCTCTCTTTCTGAAAGTGCTGTAATTCTCCCTCCCCTCTCTTCAAATTGTTGTAGACGAGGACATTAAACATATACAATCACAGAGTGCACCTTCGCGATGCTGCTCCCCCACCCACCGCCATACTGCAGTTTTAATCTATTAAAGTGTTAATTTGTACGTTCATAATCAGTGAAGGTGATTGGAACTTAAAACCTAATTCTGTTGAGGCAAGTCATCCTCCCCCTCCGGTGTAAGGTCTTTGCAGGTACATTCGGAGAGCTGTATAGAAAAAAAAAGTTGAACGTATATGTCACCTGCAGGCCATCTGCCAAACGTATCCGAAAGTATGTGTAAAGCACATCGTTAGTTGATTCGGCTAAGATTATAAAGATGTTCTGAGGAAGGGTCACTCGCCCGGAAACGTTAACTCTCGTTCTCTCCACAGATGCTGCCAGACCTGCTGAGCTTTTACAGCAATTTCTGTTCTTATTTCTGATTACAAACCCTTGTTTGCCTGTAGTTGTGTAGTAATAATGGAGAGTCCGTGTTCGTGCCGTCTGTACACTTTTTATTAAAATGTGTCAGGTACCATTCAGTAAAATACACTTTTAATGGCTTTATGGATGAGTTTTTTTGGGAGATATTTCCTAAAATGTCAGCCCATATAGTGTGAGAAGGATTTTCATGGAAAATAATCATTCGGCTTTCGTAATGAGAATGATATAAACAATAGCGTAGAATGTAGGCTTGTTGAGTCCGGTCAAATGTACAAATAGCACGTACAAAATTCTCTTTAAATTTGATATGTGACTCTAAGCATAATTAACGCAAATATATGGCATAGAGGAAATATTCTAGTCTTGATAAATAGTTCCATTTCATTGCTATTGTCATTTAATACAGTTTATTTTGCATAGATTGTACCACGGGACTTATTCTCCGTACTGTAAGAACGAATTTTTGAGGAGTTGGTCAAATATTTGTAATAGTATAGAAAAGGGAACACTGCTCTCGGCTCGGGCATTGTGAAGGGTCGCACATTCTGAAAGCCGGCGCGGGTGGCTGTTGGCGGAAATCTTTTTTTTTTAATGACATGGATTCTAAAAATTGATCAAATAACCGCGGTTGACTCAGTAAACTAAAGATTAAACTGAGGGAAAGCAATAGTCAGAATTCTCCTGTCGACTTCCGCAGTAAGAATAGCAGCAAGTGGAAATGTGGTGCGAAAAACATAAAATAATATCCAGGAGTCTAATTTTCCAAAACTACATTAACCAGCTTTGGAGCGGTGGTCAAGTACAAATCGGGTGCGTATATGGGAAATGGAATTGCACAATTGGATAACTCCTTCGATGTTGTGTGTATATTTAGATTTCTGCGCAGAGAGAAAGAGAGCGTGATTCGTACTTATGGCCTAAAGTTATGTTAACGTTAACTACGTGCATCTTAATTATTTGATAATAATTAACCCCCAAATGTCCTGATTCCTAATATGTATGAAAACATTCCCTTGGAGTGTCTGTGGGTCTACACAAATTTATCTAGTCAGAGTTTCCCCTCCTTCATTTCGACATGGAGAAAATGTCTCCGTTTAGCCAAGATGTGAATAGTGGCTCTAATTTTGCAACAACATACCTCAGATTTGGTCAGCTCCATTCGGGTGACGAATGATGCTTTATAAGCTTAAAGAACGTTATTTTTATTTCGGAATAAGCTCCTTGTGGGCTCGTGACGATCAGTATGCCGTAACTTTGCTGTCTAAATCAAATATGTTAACCTATTTATCTTCATGGGACTGCATTAGACCGAAGCCACGAAAACTGACATGGCATGATCGGGACTTTTAAGCAAAGTAGAATTGTTAGTGAGATTGTAAACATAACAGTTTTGCTTTTGGTAAACAAGTAAGTTTTTGTAATGTTTTCGAGGCGATGTTCCCATTAATGAGTATGCACAGCTTTGTTCCAAATGTCTTTATATAGTTACCAATAACTGCTCACGCCACTGAAACAAAATTCTCACATAAGTAATTTAGTGTAGATGAACAATAGCAGGCATGAGAAAAAATATTTACACACAGGAATCAATAAACTTCAATTTCGCAATACAAGAGTGAAGAGTCAAGGGCCGTCTCTCATTAAAACCATTGCTCCTGGATCAACTAAACAGGCAAAAGAAAACGTACTCAATATAACTTCGAAACTTAGTTTTCTCCTTAAGCTGTAAAAGAAATAAAACAAGTCTATTTTTAAGTATCGATACAAAAGTAGTACAGTTACCGTCCATTTGATGGTAAAAAAATGCTTGTGCCACGTACATGCAAAAGACTCGCATGTTCACTTTGACAACCGTACAAGATATTCTATATAAACAGGACTTGAAAGATACCAAATGCATTCCATTTATGGATATGCTTAAATAAACAATTCATGTACTTTTTACTAGACCGTGTCTTTCAGCTAAACTCTCCCAACTCTATTAGAAGTGTTTTGTCGAGCCTTTACGGCTTGGACCGTTTTCATTGATGATCTAAATTATTGCAGGTTTGCACTTTATTCTACGGGCAACTCGGTCTTTTAAATTAGACACGATACTTGGAGCTCACTCGCTGTTTAATGTTAAAATGTAACAAATTGACCTAAAACTTTAACAACAAAAAACAATCTCGCGCAAATTGATTGCAGTAACTCCCGTGCTGAGCGCACCGACCATGCAGACTGTGGTTTTATGATGTTGGGACCATTGAAATAGGTTGATAGGTCAGATATCAAAAGTGCTCGAGCGAAATCATTGGGACACATTTTCCTGACTTTAATACTTTTCCTCAATGCATCTTATGAAACGATCTGAGTGGCAGCAACATAGAATTATTTAAGGGTGGGACGTGGGCATCCGTAGCAAAGCCAGCATTTATTATCCATGTCTAATTTGATTGGGTGCCATTTTTAAAATACCAGGCTTAGAGAATGCTGAGACCTACACTGCCCGTCGCTATATTGGGAGGGCCTAATATCGCCAGCCCACGTTCTGTCGCCACTGGTAACTGCTAAACTGACATCTATAATCATGTTCCAATGGTTCAATATATTCAATCTCCCATTTAACGGGAACCACACCCACCCCCAAATTCTGCTCCAAATGCTTGCGGCTACTTCCCAATACAAAATAAATGCTTTACTACCACAGTACACGAAAACTCATGAACACGTCAGTGCCACAGCTGTTGGAATTACTTTGAGAAATGTATCACGAAGCGTCGCCTATAGAGATCTCAACGCATTGGGTACAAAATGCATTTGGAATCAAAAACGGAACAAAGAATGAGAACAAGGAATAACTTGGCACTTCAAAAGCATCCTATCAAGAGGCACAACGTGAGAGAGTCAGTTTAGTCAAGCCGTCATTGTGTAGCTTGAACAACAGCTTGAATTCTGCTGGTAGTTGATGGGACTCTTGCCATTTGGTTGTGAATTTTGTCCCCTTTTTGTCGTAGTAATGATATGGCAATTCCTTTCCAGTGTTAGGATCCCATGCGAAAGGCCAAAATCCGTACAAGTGGATCTCTTCGCAGATGGCCGACGCTAGTGTATACATCAGGATGCCTGTACTTAGACGCTTTGGGGATAGATGTTTGGTTTTCCAATATCTGTTTAACAATAGAGTAACAAAAAATGACAAAATATCAGTCATCCGTGGATTTCATTTTCATGAAAAGATCCTTCACTTTTTTCTTGTAAGCGTTACCGTCTTCCTCCTGTTCTATTTTTATTCCTCAGACGTTCAATGTTAGCCCTTCTCTGTTGCTGTATGCCTATCTGGCATTTGCTATTCTTGCATCTCCGTGACAATTTTTTTCCAATCTTCTCCCTTTATCTAAGTTTTCCCGGCCTGCCTCCCATCTTCTGCATTCTTACATTCTCGGTATTCCTTTCTGTCTGGCTTTCTGTTAATACCTGCCAATCAGACCATTTCTTGTCGTATGTCAGAGTTCCAAATCTTTGACAAAATTCTGTGTGTGTACCGTCTTGAGGTGCATAAGGCAGATGATGATATGGTGAAGGAGTGGAAACCAAGGTCTGAGCCCGGGATTGGGACTGGGATCACATGATTAAAGAGAAGGGAGTAGGAGGCCTTAGGTAAATATATATTCTTGCAAAAAAATAAAATCAACGGATTACAAACGAATGTATAAAACCAGTTAATGATTTGACTACCTCACTTTTCTGAGATAAATTTCTCAACAGTTTAATGAATCTGATATTCAGAACGGAAACTGTGAGAAGATGGGCAACATAGCTCGACTGTGGGGTGGGGCACTAACTTGGTTTGTGGCCGGGAGGCGGAGGCAAAGCGGATTTGCCCACGTATCAGAGCTTGAATTGCAGGATGGTCTGCGAGTCCACGGGAGTGAATATAGCACGACTTCATAAGGTGCCGGGGTAGTTGGACACAGCAAGAGGTTGAAGAGAATAGTCCAAGACAAAGACTAGGGAACGAGGCTGAACAAGAAAAGGAATGAGCATGACCCAGGAGTCAGGGCTCCAGAACCATTCTGTATAGATTGTGTGACGGTGTACCTGCATTGGAAAATGTGGGACCAATTTGAGCAGGTTAAATGTATTTTTATGCGCACACTTGTGACTACTTTTAGATTTTTGCTTATTATTTACTACGTTATAAATTTCACTTTACGGTGCAAACGGTGCAGTGGGCAAGGAGTGATTGTCAGAGATAACAGTGTGGAGCTGGAGGAACACAGCAGGCCAGGCAGCATCAGAGGAGCAGGAAAGTTGGCGTTTCGGGTCGGGACCCTTCTTCAGATGTCCTCCGATGCTGTCTGGCCAGCTGTGTTCCTCCAGCTCCACACTGTGTTATCTCTGACTCCAGCATCGGCAGTTCTTACTATCAAAGAGTGATGGCCATTTTGCTTAGGCCTTTTGATCTATCTGTGATGCTTGTGGGGGAGGGGAGGGTATAACTGAAGTTCGAAATCTTGAGAATATAGAGAAAAACAATCAATATGATCCAAGAAAGCACAGAGACTGAACCAAAGAGCAACAACGCAGTGGGTGAATCAACGAAGAAAGGGGACAAGTTAAATATACCTAGGAACATTAGAGGGCATTCAGCTCCTCACCATTCAATAAGATATGCCTTAACCCCACATTCCTTCTTACTTCAATAGCCTTTGATTCACTTCATCTAAATTGTTAGTCAAGAGTCTACCGACTTTCGTCTTAAAATATTCAACGACCCTGCCTCCGCCGCTCTCTGATGAAGATGTTCTACAAATTCCAGACCCTCAGAGAGAGAGAGAAATTTCCTCATCTCCATCTTTCATCATAAACCGAATCCCTTAGTTTCAGACCCTGCCATAAGGAGAACCTGTCAAGTCTCCGCGGCATCTCACATTATGACATATCCCAAAATGATAAATGGTCACAACATTCAATTATTTTGATCATAAAAAAGGCAACTGAGGATGGAATGATAGAATGAACCTTCCTGTGAATTTTTTAAAAAAGAAATTTCAGGTAAAAATATCTTTGGGTCATAGATACTCACTTATTGACATGCTGCATTATGTTCCCAGGCCAAGCCAATTGGACCTTCAATTGTGCTCTATATTCTATAAAAAAAATCCACTAACGTTCTTGTCACCGGAGCGGAAGTGTGGAAGAAAAAGGCAGGGATCCAAAGAATGGCTCCATCCAACTTTTTAAGATTCAGGAAAAACTTGTTTCGATCCTGGATTGTTAAGAGATTGTTGTAGTACTTTTCTAGGATGCTTGGGTTGAATGTCGTGAGATTCGTCTTTTTGCCAACATCTCCCTCAAAAGATTCAGTTGGGGCGAAATTGCAGCGGAACACGAAATCTGTTTTATCGATATCAGCTCCGCAATGACTCCCGATTAGAATCCCACTGTTCCCAACCACCGCACATGTGTTGTAATGCATCTTTAATATAGGGGTCACGTCGGGGAGCAATGATCGAAAACTATTGCTGACTGAGAAAACGTATTTGTGGTTAGAGTAATCGTAGTGCAGCAACTGTCCTACTCGCACGTTTTTCTTAAGCAAAGTGAAATTTTTATAAATGTCGACATAGCGACTGATCTCCTTCCTGAAACACAATTCGCACAAAGAGAACAAGTTAGTTCAGTTCATTCATGGTAGTAGATGTGAATTCAGAACACAGACTTTAAATAAGTGCATTAAAAAAAAAGCCTCAGTAGGTTCAAAATGTAGTGGAAAAAAAATCGAATCAAAAAGAGCCGGTGGGAAAGGAAAACGTATCTTAATTATTAAAAGACAACAAGGTGCAGAGCTGGATGAACACAGCAGGCCAAGCAGCATCATAGGAGCAGGAAGGCTGACATTTCGGGCCTAGATCCTTCCCGCAGTTCCTACTATCTCTGATTTAATTATTAAAAGATTTCCTTTGTGAATTTGCAACTTTGAAATGTGCTCATTACCGATATTACAGTAAAACATCCCTTTGGCACTCTTCACCGGCTATTTTTAATACCTCTCCCTAACAGTGATACCACTTTTGTTCTACATAATGCAGACTGCACTGTATCAGGTTTCTGGTTTAAGTTGAAAGAGGGAGAGCATGTGTGTGGGTGTCCGGCGGCGAGGGCGGATGCTGGAGAGAGGATCAGGTAGCATGAAAGGGTCAAAAAGTCGAAAAGAGAGTCAAACAGTGAAAGCAAAGAATTACGAATTATTATCACTTCCGTTCTTGCCCCTTTTGGAGCTTCACACCTTTCAGAGTGACTTGCCTTTGCTTTAAAAAGGAAGTTGTGTTGAAAGCCCATTTTGCGGGTTTGGCACGAGTATTGTCGTTAAGGCCACTTCCAGCCGGCAAAAAAGAAGGATCCAGGAATTTCAAAGAAAACTGTGACCTGCAGGGGGAAAAATCGCCAAGTTTTAATTCGAAGTCACCATTACTGTTGCCCTATCAGTTTAAGCACTCGTGAACTGACGACACTCGATCCACAAAAGATCTCATTTCGTTACCAACCTTTAAAGGATTATTAAAAAAAGCATAATTTAAATCTGTCAATACTATTTATTTGATCACTTATGCTGAAGAGGGCAGAAATGCATGTTGTCAGCACCCTCCATCCCCCACGCAGCTATCCAAATATAAGCGAAAAACTGATATAAAGTTTAATTATTGCTTGTTTAGAGGATTCAAGTAGTCGAACTCATCTTCTGTATCACAGCAAATCATGGTCAGTCTTTTAAAATATCTTAAAATATACCCGTCGTCCATGCTTAATTGCTGCTTGGGCATTTTAGCAATTTCTGTCAGGTACTTTCATTTCCATCCCTCCCCAGGAAATATCTCCTTTACATTTCCTCGTTTAGGTTCCATGCTTTTTTCCCGGAGGTCGGGGTTGTGCTCCACAGACACCCTAATGGATGACCCCGAGAACCCCTCTGTAGTCTTTCACAATGAAATACTTCTAACTTGAACATAAGAATAGAACAGGCTGCCAAACTCTTGCTCCTATTTGCATATTGAAAACTCCTCACGTCTTTGACTCTGCCTGTTAAGTAGATCACCCTCAATACTTCAACTTCTAGTGGCATGTTTTCAATGTAAGTTAAATCTATGTCATGTCACCCGGAGTATTTTGCAAAATTTTCAAACTCAGTGAATTTTACACTTTTTAAAATTTTATATGTGGCCTACATCTTTTTATTTTTGTGAACTCAATGAGATAAATAGCCTCTTCCAGTGCTGTATGATTTTATGACTACCTTTCAGTTTATTTCCTTGATACTTCTAATCAATCTTCTGAGTTTTGTTCATATCCATGTCATCAGATGCCAAGCCAAATTGTACTTTCCACTTGCATATATGGTTTATATATTTTTAGCAGACATGGATTTCACAGCTCTGCTAAGTATTCTGAAGTGTTAACTTAAATTGCTTTTCTACATTGTCAAATCATTGACCCTTACCCTCCTCTCTCAGAACCATTGTACAGTCTGCCATTCATTCTCTGATGAGTAATTTCCGATCCATATTTATTCAGACATTTTTTTACCCTGCTCTAAGAATTACTTGTGATTCTCATATCTAGCAGTGTTATTTGCAATGTTACATGCAGTATCTTTATACGGTTTATTGGTTTTTGAAAGTTTAAGTAAACAATAATTTCCAGAGTTCCATTTCCTCCTTAATTTGCAATTTAACCAGGTGGTTCCTGGAGATTTATCAGCTAGGATTACCCCTTCTAAATGCAGGCTGAATGTTTCTTATTCACGTGTTACTTTCTTGGTGCTTCTTCATGTAATGCCTTTCATTATCAGCCAACATCTAACCATAAGATTGTGGGTTTGCAGTGGCCAAGTCAGAGTCGATCATTTTGCCTAATAGATGTAATAGATTTGCTAATCTCTAATTCTGAAACTTAATTAGTTACAATCATTTCTGGACTTTTTTTCCTGGTGTGCTCTTTTCATGACGCAGACCTTTGGAATCAATGTACAAAGTTAAATCTATGTCATGTCACCCAGATTATTTTGCAAAATTTTCAACCTCAGTGAATTTTCCACTTTTTTTTCTTTATGTGTGGCCTGCATCTCTTTTTATTTTTATGAACTCAATGGAATAGATAGCCTCCTTCAGTGCTACATGATTTTATGACTACCTTTCAGTTCATTTCCTTGATACTTCTAATCAATCTTGTGAGTTTTGTTCATATCCATGTCATCAGATGCCAAGCCAAATTGTACTTTCCACTTGCATATATAGTTGATATATTTTTAGCAGACATGGATTTCACAGCCCTGCTGAGTATTTTGAAGTGTTAACTTAAATTGCTTTTCTACATTGTCAAATCATTGACCCTTACCCTCCTCCTTCAGAGCTATTGTACAGTCTGCCATTCATTCTTTAATAAGTAATTTCTGATTCACATTTATTCAACTTTTTTTTATCCTGTTCTAAGAATTACTCAGGATTCTCATTTCTAGCAGTTTTATTTGCAATGTTACATGCAGTATCTTTATATTGATTATTGGTTTTTGAAAGTTTAAGTAAACAATAATTACCAGAGTTCCACTTCCTCCTTAATTTGCAATTTAATCAGATGGGTCCTGGAGATTTATCAGCTGGGATCACCCCTTTTAAATCCAGGCTGACTGTTTCTTATTCACATGTTGCTCTCTAGGTGCTTCTTCATGTAAAGCCTTTCATTGTCTGCCAACATCTAACCATAAAATTGTGGGTTTGCAGTGGCCAAGTCAGAGTTGATCATTTTGCCTAACAGATGTAACAGATTTGCTAATCTCTAATTCTGAAACTTATTTAGTTACAATCATTTCTGGACCATTTTTTCTTGGTATACTCTTTTCAGGATGCAGACCTTTGGCTATATTAAAATACTGACTTTCAACCCAGTTTTTATGCCCTCAGTACATCTACTGTATTACAGAAGTATAGTACTGTTAACATTGTAGGATGTCCTAGGATTGTATAATGTGCTTTACAATTGAAATTTCTTTCTATGAAGGGCTTTCAGTTATAGAGTCGTGCAGTGCAGAAACAGATCCTTCAATCCAATTCATCCATGCTGACCAGGCATCCCTATCTGATCTAGTTCCATTTGCCAGCATTTGGCCCATATCCTTCCAAACCCTTCCTATTCATGTACCCATTCAGATGTCTTTTAAATGTTGAAATTGTACCAGCCTCCACCACTTCCTCTGGCAGCTCATTCCAGACACGCACCACCCTCTTCATGAAAAAGTTTCTTTCTAAATCTTTCCCCCTCGCCTTAAATCTATGTCCTCTCGATTTGGACTCGCCCACGCTAGGAAAAAGACCTTGGCTATTCACCCTATCCATGCCCCTCATGAAATTATAAACCTGTATGAGGTCAGCCCTCAGTCTCAGATGCTCTAAGAAAAAATAGCCTGAACCTATTCAGCCTCTCCCTATAGGTCTAACCCTCCAGTCCTGGAAACATTCTTGTAAATCTTTTTCTGCACCCTCTCAAGTTTAACAACATCCTTCCTATAGAAGGATGACCAGAAATGTATACAATTATTCCAAAAGTGGCCTTAACCAATGTCCTGTACTGCTGCAACACGACCTCCCAATTCCTATATTTAATGTCATGACCAACGAAGGCAAGCGTTCCAAATGCCTTCTTTACCAACCTTTCTGCTTGTGACTTCATAGATCATAGAAGACCTACAGTGTGGAAACAGGCCCTTTGGTCCAACAAGTCCACACTGACTCTCAGAGTACCCACCCAAACCCATTCCCCTATAACCCACCTAGCCTACACATCTTTGGACTGTGGGAGGAAACCCACGCAGACACAGGGAGAATATGCAAACTCCACAGAGACAGTCGCCTGAGAGTGGAATTGAACCCGGGTTCCTGGCACTGTGAGGCAGCAGTGCTAACCACTGTGCCACCGTGCCACCTGCTATTTTTAAGGAACTACATGCCTGCATTCCTGGGTCTCTTTGTTTGGCAACACTCCCCAGGGCTGTACCATTTACTGCATAATTCCTGCCCTGGTTTGCCTTACCAAACTGCAACACCTCACATTTATCTAAATTAAACTCTATCTGCCACTCCTCAGCCCATTGGCCCATCTGATCAAGGTTCAGTTGTACTCTGAGAAAATCATCTTCATTGTCCACTGCACTTGCTGTCATTTGCAAATTTACTAACCATACGTCCTATATTCACATCCAAATCACTTTGATATATGATGAAAAGCAGTGAACCCAGCACTGATCCTTGTAGTACACCACTAGTCACAGGCCTCCAATCTACCACCCCCGTCTCCTCGAGCCAATTTTGTATCCAATTGGCTAGCTTCCTCTGGATCCCATGTGATCTAACCTTACTAACCAGTCTACCATGTGTACATGAGATGTATGGTGAGCAGACTAGTTAAATGTGTTTAGTTAATTCAATAAAAATGGATTCGCCATTATCAAATGCACTACTATTTTTGACAATGACCAATAGAGCTCACTATCTATTCTGCTAATTGAGTTGTTCATTTTGAATTTGTTTGATTTTACATCAGATTACTTTCCTGGCTTTGTTAAACATTTGTCTCTGGTTGGATATTTCCCCTTTTAATAAATGCAATAAGGCACATTGCTATTATTTTGGTCCTTGTACTTACAGGTTTTCCTGCCTCTCTGTGCTGTCAGTGCATTAGGCCTCAAGCTCAGCAATCCTCCATTCAAAACTTTTCCCATTGAGGAAGCTCCTTAAATTGCACTTCTTTGACCCAGCTTTGAGATACCATTCAGATGTTTCCTTTGTCTGCGTATCATTTATTTTTCTTTTGTGGATAAGTTTGGAACATTTTACTGTATTAAAGGGGCTATGTAAATGCAAAATACTGTGTGTGCAAAGGAACTGTCACTTTCGATCAATACCATGGAAATAGTGCATTGGATGAATAGCATATTTGAAAAATTGCACTCCATCATCTCAATTCCAGCAATTGTAGGAGAACCAATGCCTGCACTACAGGAAGTTTTAGAATGGATTTCACTTGATATTCATATACACTGTGGCGACTAGCACATAGCTGTGCTGATTATTAGAGCCCTTTAAAGCAAATCTGCGTTGTGATAATAGGAGTCAGGTCAGGAATACAGTTAATTTCTGAAAGGTTCCTAGACTTTAGACAAACGCTTCCAAAATAAGTCAATGAAATCAGATTCCTTATGTATGTTTAAAGGAACATGCTCATTTGGTTATGATGTGCCCAAACAATGTTCTCGATTTCTTCTTTAAATTTTGATACTTTGCACAAATTCTTCCAACTGGGTGGGTGCTGCTTGCGAATGCAGCCTTAGGGCGATAACAAACATGTTATTAGTTTTACAAGCACAACATTGGGTATATCTGTCCTTATGATGAAAACCTCAACAGTTACAATTATCTGGACGCATAAACCACAGCAACATTTCCGACTGAAGTATTTAGCCATCCCCTCCCTCTTAAATGAGGGATGATTGTTCTGTAGGACCCCTGTAGGCCCTGACAGTGAGGGAGACGGCTTCACCAGCACCGACAGACCACTGCGTGCGTCCAGCCACAATACCACAGCCCAGCCGTACATCAGTCACTAAAGGACTACAGTCCGTAAATATCTGGTCTAGTGGCCCCATGCCCCCGAATATTCCAACCCATTAAATCCCCCCCATCCCCTCCTACCCCAACCCCAACCCCAACCTGTTCTTTTACATGGAACGAGGCGGGGGCGGGCTATGGATAATACACATCGCTGGTTCAATCGTGGTGCCTGTAGAGGGACTGTGATGATGGGGGAGGGGAGTAAGGGTAAACAGAGAAATTGAACATGTCAGAGAGATGCTCTGCGCCCGCAAAGATGCACGGGTCTGCGTGCTTCTTTCAAGCAAAACCATCATTACTTTCTGAAAATAAAACATGATGCAGTTCTTTTGTTGTTGCTATTTGAAGTTTAATCCAATGGTCAATCGACTGGAAAGCAAAGCGGGTACCGGGGCCGCAAACTGATAAAGCTGTCTAATTTTACATAGATTCTGTCGATTTCGATCACAGGCTTTATAATATATAAACGAAATGGTTGTTTTTTTTTCCTTTGACTTACCGAAATCCACTGTGTAACATATAGAGCCTAGGGCCGGCTGAACCTAGATATCGTGGGGTGGCGAAGAGGTTATCCTTTTTCAGTGAGACATAGCTGATCAGCGATAAAATAAGCAGAGCGACGCTTAACATCACCAAACCCAGCACACTCGCCATACGAACCATCCTGCAAATCCTCATAGTGCAACGCTTCAACAGTAAATCGAAAGCAGGCCCATATCTGTTCGCTTATCTTAACAAGAGAGGGAGATAAAAAAAAGAGAAAAGTAAGTCGGTTATATTGACAATGTATTGTGCTGCTTTATATGTGAAATAAAAATGGACGGAGTCAAAATTCTGCAATGCAGAAATGGTAGGTGGTTGCGTTGGTGATACGTCGCGTTGCTCTGTGAAACCCCCACACTCGACATACATACTGCACCGGCGCTGCCTCCATCCATTCCCCGGCTGCAGGGTAAATGTGACTGGAATAGTCTCCCTCTACTTACCCGACAAGCTCAAGGTTTCATTAATGAACGCTTAGCAAATGCCCGAGTGCATTTCATTTCGAAAAAAAAAGTAGGGAAGTACGTGTTGTCACTTTAATTATATTGGCTGTATGAAAAAAGCTTAGAACTGTTGCATGTGGAAGAAATAGATAGTTCGGTTTGGGAGGGGACAAGTGAATAACAGTTAAGCAAATAGCGAAGAAGGCCTGTAAAACAAAACGTCAAGAAGTAACGCTTAGGGAACTGGGCAAGCAGGTGGCAGATGTAATTTAAGCCAAGTGTAAGCTCTTGTGCTAATATACTAAGGAAAACAAGAAATGAGCGGGAGTGTACATTTTCATAAAACTAGTTAATGGTGTGGAGCAAAAGATAAACTCAAAACATGATTGCCCATCTCTGGCCCAGGCCATCTGTTGTCCAGTCTCTCATCCACGATCTTTGTACCTCCAGACAAGACTATTCCAATGGTTGGCTTACTGGTAACCAATTTTCCACGTTTCAGTAACTCAAGTTCATCCAAAATTCTGCTGCCTGTATCCTCTCATTAATTAACTCCCATTGACATATCATCCCATGTTCACTGACCTACATTGTCTCCCAGTCCAGCAATGTCTCAATTTTAAATCCGCACCTCTTGATTCAAATTCCTCCGTGGCCTCAGTACTTCCTTATCGTCCCCCAATTCTCTGAGGACTTTGCACTTTCTGCAACTCACACCTCTTGTCCTTCTCCTATTTCTTTACCCTAACCACTGGCAGCTGTGCCTTCAGCAATCAGCATCAGTTGGAGGAACTGTCAATTCCCAGCTCTGCTGAGCTCTTCAAGGTCCACCACGTAGATAATGGAACCAGTAACAAAGTGGCAGACAGCTGCATATCCCTCAGCAAAGGACAACAATCCAGTCATGCTGCAAACATCTAGAAAAACCTCCCCAAGCCCAGCTAATATTTCAGGCAGGACTGCTAATCACATTTCATTTCTGTTGAAGGGACATTTGAAACTATCTGTAAGACTGAGGATCATAGTTTAATGTTAGTCGCATCAGGCTCACCATTCAATGTAAAGAATAGATATTATAGCAAATTTTGATCTTTATCGACAATGATCTTTCACCCTAATGGAAAACATTCCATTCATATAGCATACCTGAAGATAGCAATCAAAAATAACATGTAAAACATTTTTTCTAATGAAGACTCTCAATGTATAATAGGATGCGTGATTATAAAGGGGAGATGGTGTTTTGTGATGACGTTATCAGACTAGTAGTCCAGAGCGACAGTGTAATGTTTCTGGAGTCATGGGTTCAACTCCCACCATTGCAGCTGGTGGAGTTGAAATGCCATGAATGAAGCTGGAATGGAAAGTTGCTCTCAGTGATGGTGACCATGCATCATTTTTTTAAAGAAAAGCCCACATTTGGGGAAGAAACTTCTATCCTATATGTAACTTCTGACACACAATGGTTGATTTCAAATTGCCCTCCGACTAATGGCTTAGTAAGCCAATCAGTTCAAGGGCAATAAGAGATATGTCAGTAAAGAATAAGAAAAAACTCTCACCTCCCTCTAGTTGTGTACACACAATCTCTGTGAACTGTGTTTTCAGCCCAAGATTTTCCTTTTCTGCATTAGTGGACCATAATGCTAGCCTATGCATTATGGTCGCTAATTCAACATTAGCACAAATGCATTATTTCTAGACAAATAATCAATCTGTCTTTATCTCTTTATTTTGTGGTGCTGTTTCTATGTAAAACTTGACAACAGCAATAACAGAGGAGACAGAAATGCTCCCCAAATGTCATAACAACAGTTTTAAAAATGTGTAATAACCCTCTAGACAACCAGTACATGTAAAGTAAAACTAACATAAAGACTGTGGCCTAGAAATCCAATTGTACCAATTCAGGCATGGAGGAGATGGGGCATGTGCAGCATTTGCTTGTCTGTAATAGCTTGGACAGCTTATGGTATTTGTGCTACTTGATCATAGTTCTGTAAACTGGAGACAATACTATCTATTGGCTTCATGCCTGTAAAGGAAAGTCTGTGAGTATTTGGAAATGGGTTGGCTGTGCTAAAAGCAACCAATTTCATGACAGGACCTGTGGCAGTGGGGTAGGTAATAGGCTTGAAAGGAGGTGTTCATGCTCTGAAGTTGTTAAACTCAATCAAAAACAGAAATTTCTGGAAAATCTCAGCAAATCTGGCAGCATCTGTGGAAAGAAATCAAAGTTAATGTTTCAGGTCCAGTGACCTCTCTTCAGAGCTTAATCTTGTTCCGAAGAAGGGTCACTGGACTTGAAACATTGTTCTGAAGAAGGGCGACTGAACCCGAAACATTAACTCTGATTTCTCTCCACAGATGCTGCCAGACCTGCTGAGATTTTCCAGCAATTTTTGTTTTTGTTTCCGATTTCCAGAATCCATAGCTCTTTCCGTTTTTTGTTAAACTTAATGTTGAATCCTGAAGGCTCTAAAACACTGCTCCACGTAGAAGCCTCCTCCTCCTTCCTCACCATCCAAGGCCCCAGATACAGCTTCCAGAAGAAGCAGTGATTTACCTGCACTTCAGCCAATCTGATCTACTGTATTTGCTGCTCACAATGTGTTCTCTCTACAATGGGGAGATGAAATGCAGATTGGGTGACCAATTTGCAGAACACAAATGTTCTGTAGGTAAATGTGCCCCTGAGCTTCCTATTGCCTGCCACTCCAATACATCATGTTTCCATGCCAACAGTTGTCTCAGGTCAGCCGTAATGTTCCAGTGAAACTTAACACAAACTGAAAGAACAACATCTCATCTTCCGTTTAGATACCTTACAGCCTTCAGGACTCTACATGGAGCTTAATAATTTCAGAGCATGATTATCTCCTTCCATGTCTATTACCTACTCTCACAGTCCCAGATCCTGTCGAGAATTGAGTTGCTTTCTGCACAGTCCACCCATTTTCAACTACTCATAGTTTCCAATGTCACCTTTTGAGCTTTTCTTCTTCTCTGTGTTTAATATTAACAATCTCTTTTCTTCTCTCTCTGATCTCCATCTTCACCCGCCTGCTAGTCCTCCCCACAACACTCAAACATCAGCATCTATATCACCCTTTTCCTAGCTGCATTCAGTTCTGAAGAATGGTCACTGCTTCGGAATAGTAACTCTGGTTTCTCTCCCCAGATGCTGCCGGACCAGCTCTGCAGTAGAGATTGTCTCTTCATACTCACCTGTTATCACAACTTTCACTTGCACACACCTCATATCTCACATACTACCTGTTGTTCCATCGTGAAAGCCAGATTCTCTAAACACCCCTGACAAAACACTCACTAATATATCCCTTGACTCTTGCAGGAAAAGTTGTAGTGGATGTCAGAATAGCAGGCTGGAGCATTGTGTTGGCCATCATTATAAGGAGCTCAATCAAGGTTGTGGTGATGTTATATAGGGTTTCTTTTCACATAACTCCTGTTGTTTTTCTCATTCCTCACTCTCAACAGCACTATATGGTAAATACTGGATATTTTTAACCTGACTTCTCTCTTCCTGGCCTTCCTTGATTTAAAAAGATTAATCCTTGCCTCTTGTCTCAGCTCAGATACTAAGAATGAGTAAACCTTTGGGCTACTCAAAGGAAAAGAGGCAAATGTTTGGGAAAATGTGACATCAATTGCTTTGACTCTTGCAAACACTAACTCAGATATTAGTAATATGTAGAATTTATTCACTAGATTAAAGGTAATATTGTATGAATGGATCTCACTGGGCACATAGCTAGCAGCTGAGAGAAAGGACATCGCAGGTGCCAGCTCAGTTATAACGTTAATGTTAAAGGCAGAAAAGAGGCATTGATTGACCAGATCAAAAGATGTGGACATTACCATGACAGGTGAAAAACCAAAGATTTGGAAGTTGAATCTTGAAAGTGCAATTATAAATGCATTGAGGGCAAGATTTTCCATGGTATGCAGAGGGAGACAGAGATATCATATTAAAGAATACACGTCTGTGTTACTGATTAAAACAACTTTCTTTTCGCCACGTTTGATGCAGTTGTCTACAGTAAAATATTTATCTTCTTACACCTTGGTGATTTCCTCTGGACTGAGCACCATCCTCACACTTTTAAATATGTGGAACACAGTTCAGTGTTTGTATGCAACTTAACTGGTTTATCGATCAACTACAAGACCTGTTTGGATCACTGAGGGGCTTAAGTGTCCTCTGCCAGACCTTGTCACTATTTAAGACCATAAGATATAGGAAGAGAAAGAAGCCGTTCGGCTCATCGAGTCTTTTCTGCCATTCAATGCTGATCTGATAATCCTCAACTCAACTCTTCTTGCCTTTCCCTTTAATCCTTTATTCCCTTACTGATTAAACATTTGTCTCTCAATCTTGAAAATGCTTAATGACCCAGCCTCTCCAGTCCTCTGTGGTAAAGAATTCAATAGAATGACTATATTCTAAGAGAAGAAATTCCTCCTCATCACTGTTCTAACTTTATCTGGACTGCCTCTAATGCCAGTTTATCTTTTCTTGTGTCTTGTAACTAGTGTCTTATATAATTTTTGCCAGACTTCTTTCATTTAAATCCAAGAAAACAAAATGACAAAGCTTCTCCATAAACCCCTTTCTCCTGTCTTGTAAGCTCCAACACATAATGTAAGGAGTTCATGAACTGTTTCTAAAGTGCCCATGTTACTCTTCAGTACCATTTCATTTCCAAGTATGCAAAAATTGTGTTAAATTTGATTTTCATTGCAAGTTTATTTTTACTTTTCATTCTGGCAGTTCTTACTGTTATTTTTGTCTTCCTCTGGTGATCCCCATTGCTCTATCCTTGAGCACCTTTCCTTGCATACACATGTGGAAGTATGTGGGTTCATCTAAAAGACATAGCTTCAGTTTTCATACATATGCTTTAGAAAATCAACAAATCATAAAGCACAGAAAAGGACCATACTGTCTGTTGTATACATGCATGCCATTTTCAAGTGAAAATCAGTGAGCCCCATTCTCCTGCTTCCTTATTCTCATTGCCCTCCAACTTTTTCCCTTCAAATGCATATCTACATCTGTGTTTGAAAATTAATTATATCTGCTTTTACCATGCTCTCCGAAAGTGCATTCCCAATCCTAACCAATTACTGCATAAGACTTTGGTCATTTTGGTTCCTTTGTAAATTATATTAAATCAATGTCTTCTAAGTTTTAACAACAGTTTTCTCTTACTTTTATCCAGATCTCTCATAATGTTGAATACTTCTATCAAATCTTTCTTAATTTTCTTGTCTTTGAGAAGAAAAATCACAGCATCTCCAGTCAATCAAATCACTTTAAATCCTTCATCTTTGGAACTATTTTTCTAAATCTCTTTTGCATTCTTTTTAATACCTTTGAATTCTTCCTTAAATGTGAAGTTCAAAATTAGATACATGATTTCGGTGGAAGCTAAATCATTGTGTTTTAAAATGTTAGTTACAATGTACTTGCCTTGGTATTCCAGGCTTCTATTTATAAGAGAAACCTTTCAAGAATATGTTATATAAACACTTAAAGGCCTTATTTTCAT